GGGGACGGAGTCGGAGTTCCAGGAATTTAGGGATTCGGCGTGGGTGAAGGATTGCTTGAGCTTGAGGAGGGCCTCGTTTTCGGAGAGGGGAGAGGAGGCCGGAAGGCGACCGAGGAAGAGGAAGAGGAAGAGAAGTCGAACAGCGGCCATTGCAGAGCCGGAACGGAAAATGGAATAGCTCCGGATAGAAACCAGCCGCTGTTCGAAGAATTGCGTGGTTGTCTCTTCTGTGAGTGTGTTGGGCAAACCTTTTTTTCCGCTTCCTTGGGATTGGGAATGAAGGAAGTTGGGTCATTGTTGGCGTTCGAATTCGCATTCGCGTTGGAAAATAGGTGATTCTCCAAATTTCCCACCAAATTCTAAGAATAGGAGCGATGGAGAGTTGTGTTGACATTGTCAGCCACATTTAATTTGGTTCCACTTTCGAGCCACAAACCATACACCCCGCCTCCACCTCGCACAATCTAATACAAAACATTACAATTTGTTTCTCGATCATAAAACTTTCTTTTATCATCATTTAATTGATGAAAACTTATTTGTGCAACACACACTAAAATAAGTCTAAGAGAATATTATGGATCGCACTCCAAAGTAAGATGAACTCTTAATCGTTAATTCTACTTCCCAATTAAAATGATGCTTCAAAACCTAGCGCAAAATCACAATTTTTCGATCAACCAAACTTGTTAAAACCTTTTGTTGCTGAAACAAAATGCATGTCATGAAGCAGATTTCTACAATACAAACAAATACAAATTTACGACATATTACAACACACTAAAAAATAATTTAGAAGATTTTCACTTAATAGCATTAATTTAGTATGCAATTTAAAAAACGTTAACTGTTTTTGTTTTTTTTTTTAAATATAACATGTAAATAGCTCAATTAAAAAAGTAGTGATTTCGAATCTGAACTAGACTAATCAAGAGAGCATTCACTTTGTAATTATCTAATTTGGGGAGAAAACAACACCAAGTCACAATTGGATTAAAGGCCAAAAACGATTTTTTTTCACATTTCTCAAAAGACATTTAAACTTAGGGCAAATTTCAAAAACAAAAACAAGCTTTTGAAAACTACATCTCGTTAGTTCTCAAAATGCAATTTCAAAAGTAAGATGCTAAGCAAATAAATATGTGGGTGGAAGTAGTGTTTACAAGTTCAATTCTCAAAGTTTGAAAACAAAAAAACAAAATGGTTATAAAATACTTTTGGTATTTGAAGTTTGAGTTTGATTTATATTTAATTTTGAAGTTTTAAAAGAGACACTTTAGCACCAAATAATTGAAAAATAGGTTATAAATTATTCCAACTTAAAATTAACCATTAATTGAATAATGCTGTTACATTTAATTTGCTTATTAGACTTGGCTCATGACACATGACAGTTTTAAATTAGGTGACAAAGATATTATGTATATTCTTTTTTGCTAATTGATAAATAAGTAAAAAAAAAAAGAAACATAAAACATATACTTTATATCGAAGCTATTGGAGCAATGGAGAAGTTGATTAACCATACTATTTAAATTATAAGAAGCCAATGCGAGTCAAAAACATCTACTTATTTTAGAGGTTCAAATCTCTATTGAAATTAGAGGATGAAATCTCTATTCATACCTTTATTTTATTAGAAAAAAAAAATATAGGAGTAGAATTCTATAATCAACCATACCTTTAACAGATATAAAGTATAAAATGTTTAGAAATCCAACAATAACATTGATGTCCAAATGGCATTAGAAATGAGTTTGAGTAAGACTGAAGAGAAAAAGTTATTTAAGATTTAAGACGGGATAGCTAATAACAACCCAATAAGGCGATGGGAGTGGAAATGGAAGTCATACTCATCTCCGCTCCCCTTAAGAATAAGAATAATTTTTTCAAAGTCAAAAGAAAACTGGCTAGCTGTATTTGTCGAGATGTGGACACATTAAAATTCAATGAGGGAATTGTTAAATTAAGGGGTCATTTTCTTGTTTAAAAATGGACTCAAATAATTAATGCAACAGATCCGCGTGATTAGGAGGAAATTAAAGCAAGTGTTTTCCTGGCAATGAAATCAATTATGGAAGATTTTAATTTCAAACAAAAACGAACCAGCTTTAAGTAAATAGAAATCCTCCGTATCTACAGTTGGGTAAGGCTAAGGGTGTTGATGATTTGACGACGCAAGTAGCGGTTTCTTGTTCACACTTTCCCAGTAGTGGTTTCTTGTTCGGATTGGACCGTGTAAACGAAGGTGGCTGAAGAAATGTTGTCGTCGAAATCCTTGAGCGGCTCTAATACCTTGACCACGGCGCTCATTGTGGGCCTCTGCTTGGGGCGGTGGCTCAAGCACTGGTAAGCCAATGCGGCTGCCTTTTGAGCTCCCATTTCCGAGTATTGGCCTTCCAGTCTGGGGTCTATTATTCGGCCGAGTCTTCTGTGATCGTTCAGCAACGGCCTTGCCCACTCTGCCAAGTTCTGCTGCCTGCGGCGGCTGCTCTTCTCCACCGACCTCCGCCCTGTCAGCAGCTCCAAAAGCACTACTCCGAAGCTATACACATCACTCATCGCCGTCAAATGCCCTGAAAATCAAATTACTTACTTCAATCCCTTCATCGTTAAATTGCCATTGCCATTGCCACCAAGTTCAAGTTCAAATAGCCATACCAGTCATTATATACTCCGGCGCAGCATATCCGTGCGTCCCCATAACTCGGGTGGAGACGTGTGTGTTGTCTCCTTCTGGACCATCCTTTGCCAACCCAAAATCAGACAGCTTCGCGGTGTAATCCTGCAGTGCAAACAACATTATTCCAATTCAATTAATACAAATTGAGAGCCCATCTCTGTATCAGAACAGAACAAGATGCTTACAGAATCCAACAGAATGTTTGAGGCTTTGAAATCCCGATAAATGACTGGCTTTTCTGCTCCATGGAGAAATGCCAGACCCTGTGCAGCTCCAAGAGCGATCTTCATTCTGGTGGACCACGGCAATGGGATTGAATATTCTAACAAAGAGATGGGATTTCGATTAGAATTAAATGTAACAGCTTTAGGGGAAGGGAGAAGGGGGAGTATAAATGAAGTGCCAGGTTGGTTTACTTTTGAAAAGTTGATTCTCCAAGCTTCCTCTGGGCATATACTCATACACAAGCAGCCTATGCTCGTCTTCGCAGCAGTACCCAATGAGCTTCACAAGGTGGGCGTGCTTGAGTTGCCCAAGAAAAATCACCTCCGTCTGTCACACAAGCATAAACACAAACACAAACGGTGAACAGAATGAATTAAGTAACAAGGAGATGGAGATTGTAAGGATTAGTTACCAGCCACTCCCTGTGGCCTTGGGTGCCATCCAAATCGAGGAGTTTAATAGCGACGGGCTGAGCGGGCAAGGCGGGCCTGAGATTGTCATCGACGAAGCCCTTGTAGACGGGGCCGAACCCACCTTCTCCGAGGAAGTTAGAGGAGGAAAAGCTCTGGGAAATTAGCTTCAACTCGGCGAAGGTGAAGGCGTGTATGTCAGATCCAGCCAGAGAGATGGAGAGATCCTCCGACAGATTTCCGAAATCCACTTGGGAAATCCTCTGGAACGAACTCGGCTTCGCCACTACTTTCTTCACCTCCAGTTCCACCTCGCAACAGCTCGAGAATATGGATCTCCACTTCATCTTCTTCACTGCCATCGGCTTCCACAGATCCCCTCTCTGCACTCTGCCTTTCCACTTTCTACTTCCTGCTTGATAATGGAATGGAATCTACACAACCATTAGAATAGATTACCATGGAACAAAATGCAAATGAAAAGGCAAATGTATTTGGATTTCCACGCAAAGGCCCACACCGCCTCGCCTTCGCAAATAAAATAATATCCTCTACTCTACTGTACATCTACTTGACACCCTGTATCACACCATGCTCTATCCACGTGCGTATTCCAACCATCTTATTACTTATACGCCCACCCACTTCCTATTTTACATTTTTTTACTCTCATTTAAACACTAATAAAATGTTAAATTTTGGGACTATAGTAAGATTTAAACACTTGTTTTTTTCTTTTTAATTACATAAAAAGTCATAATTGTTTGCTTGATTACATATAATAAGATGAGATATCACTAATCACATATTAGACACAGAGTTGAGAGAGGCAGAGGAATCTTATGCTGTGAGGAAGAAGAGAGTAGTAGGTGAGGGAGGTGGGCCCGGAATTATTCAAAGTCAAGGAGCATTATTGATTTGTGAATACAATATTCTAAATCTAAAATGGAATTCTTTTTACAATAAAACTTGTAAAAACGCGTGAAAGGAGAACTAGAAGGCATAATTTGACAACGACAAAACTTTTCCCTAAGCAGCCTCCATAAGTCGAAGTCCTAATTACATAAATGAATTGGGAGCATTTCATAAAATTCTACACTTTCAACTGCAGCCTATTTCTGTTCCCAATACCATTTACTAACAAAACAACACGTGGTAGAGACGAAACACTGCTACTTTCTCACCACTTCCATTTTACAGCTTGTAGTAATTAAAAACTAATTAATTAGAAGACAAAAGTTAACGCGTTTGAGTTGGCACCGACTGAAAACGGTCTCAAACGGCGGCAGCTGCATCACCGTGCTACCTGCTAGCCGCCGCCGCCCACGACGGTCAACAAAAAAACCCTCCAAAGTTGACTTACAAATCAGATACACTGGTACCTTCATGATAAGAGATCCACACATCAAGTTTAATCGATCATTCACATCAACTTGTATTTGATCCAACTGCAAACATCAGAAAGATTACCTGTGGATTGATATGGATCAGATCTGTTTTATGAACATATCATTCATTTACTGCCCTGCCCAAATAGGAAATGCTGGGGATTTTCTTTTTTCCTCGTAAGTCATCTCTTTTGTAATTCTGTTCATCTGGATGGTGCCACCATAGCAACTGTACCAAAGTATCGTCATGCTTTTAAAGTTCAGATCAAACCAGAGTGGTCCCACTCAAGCTGAATCAAACCAGCTCAGCAAAAATAACGAACCTTATATTTATTTTATAATTTTAAAAAGCGAAATGAAATGAACTATGTACATTAGCAGAAACCTTTACCAATCCCCAGCCTCCCTTTCTTAAACCACAAAAGATTAAAGCATGGGAGTTAGCAGACTTATCGTTTGGTCTATGCTCATCGGCATTCTTCAACTCACTAACCTATGAAACTCTCCCCCAATCACCACCAATCATACAATTTATCACAAACAGTGAGAGGACAAGGGCAATCAATCCAAGGAATATTGTTGCCTAATGGTCTTGCATCCTGCACTTCTCATCACAATGCTTCACCGTCATCCACATCGGCTTCAGCACACCTCTTCCATCATTTTTCAAATTCATAATTCAAAAGGTTTTGCCTCTACTCCGCGTGTTTAAAGAAATTGTTGTTGAATTCAGACAGTGAGCTTTACACCCTTTGGTGAAGAACTCGAATCAGTATTGGCCTGAAAGTCCAAATGAGCAACAGAAACATCAATAACTAATGAAAAAAGGAGCTTGATAGTTCAAACCATCTATCTCCCACACTGCCAAGTCCAGTCCACTCTAAAAAATCTTATGAAATATTAACAAACTCAGTTCTGGAGAAAGTTCTGCTGTACATAACATGCACCTCGCAACAGAATAGAACAAATGAATAATGCAGAGATACTGTGGGTTTACAAAAAAAAAAAAAAAAAAA